GTGTATGTATATGCATATAGCTGAAAGATCGGGACTTGGCATTAAATCAACGTTTGATAGATAAGCATAGAGTGAAGCAGAGATATAATACAAAGATGCAAGTCGAGACAGATAAGTTAAACAGAGAATTCAAAATGAGATTGCATCAACAGCGTGAACATCTTCAGGTTAAATTTAACAAATGTTACATATTTATAAAAATAAGAGCAATTGCTCTAATTTTATATACATATAGTATTTCAACCTTTGACATTTTTTAATATTAAAAATTAAATATATTATTATTTTTAGAATCAAGTGAAGAAGAAAGATGAACAGTTACGACGAGTACATCAAATTGTAATCAACAACAATGATACTAATTCTGCAATAGCATCAAAAGACCAAGCTCCAGAATCAATAACGAAAGTAATCAGTCCAGTTAGAGATATCAGAGTATCACGAAAGGTTACCTATTATGCGCAATTATTCTTTCCTCTTAAATATCTTAATTAACTTAAAAATTTTTGTGTATAAAAGTTGGAGAAAAAAAAAGCAATTTTCTTATATGTAGGACGGGATACCCGTTTCAAACCCGAGATATAGACGATCGCAAAGTGCCGACAGATGGATCGATCATAGACCTCAACCTCTTGTACCAGTCGGAACTATATTGCAACCATTGATACAAAGAAGGCGAAGCGTAGCGCAACTTACTTCACCAAAAGAGATTACGGATGGCGCATCTAGATATTGTCTTGTCGCACAAGAGCATGATACGGACGGAGAACTTGAAACAAAATTATATAAGGTTTCGTAATTTGTATATTATATGTGTAAAAAAATTACATATTTTTTATATGAATAGAAAATATTGATGCAATCTTAATGAATATACAAGTTTTACTTTCTTTTTTCTATCAAACAGGGCGATATATTGCCAACAAGTGGTGGTGGAGCGCAAGTAATATTTAACGATATGGAATGTTTGAAACAATCATCCCCGAAAGCAAGGAAACGTACTGGACAAGAGGAGGGAATAGACCAAGATATTTCTACATTGACAGAAACGAAACGACCACGAGTATAATAATACTTTCATAATTAAATATATCGTAATTTATATCGAGAATGTTGGAGAAATAAAACGTGATATATATTTGATGTATATACATCTATTTTATTCAAACCGCATTGCGGTTTAATCAAAGACTATAATCTTTGTATGATGTAATCTTTATATCACAATTATTTTTACAAGATCCGAGATAAACCATTTGTATATCTAATATTCGTACGGGATAGTTATTGCTGAAATATACAACAATATATGGATATTGTTACACATTGATATATACAGGGTATTCGATAAAGACCGTAACAACGCTTAAGGGTAGATTTCTGAGACATTTTGAAACGAAAATTCTAATACCAAAATGTCGAGGTTTTAATAATGTTATCGAATCATACCGTATAAAGTTCGCGCGTTCAGGTGATACAACGGAAAACCCAATCGCATCTAAGCACGCGAACTTTAGACGGTATTCTTCGCTAACTTTGGATGCCTTCTAACAAGACACATGACACGGTGTGACATGGTGCATTATTACATCCCTGTTGTTCGCCAATGTTAAAAAAGGATGAGATGATCACTGTGTTGTATTGAGTCGCTTGTTGGAAGGCACTCTTTAAGTACTTATGGTCGCAGCACAGACTTCCATGGAATGGGAGGAAAGAAAAGCTTCTGATTAGTTGATTCGTTTATGCACTATGCGTTATGTAAAAGTCTGTGCTGCGGCCTTTATAATTCAAAAACTATAGATCTACGAGGAGGCTCTTGAGATTGATCAGCGCTAATTGCGTATTCCGCAAATTCCGCTCCATGGGACATAGGAAAACACACTTTAGCGGAACGGAATGGACGGAATGAAGCCACTACCAATCATGAGCGTTCCACCAATTCCGCATTGTGCCAATTACTTTAGGCTGCGTTCGGAAATATCACCCGAGTGCCTCCGTGTATCGTTTTATCCTTGTTGTTCACCCAATGTTAAATAAAGATAAGAAGGATTCTGTTCCGATAGCTGTGTCGAAAATTTTCTTTTTAGTTACAAGATTGGTAGCGCTATAACTCAGCTGTGTTCCGTAATGCGGGGTTTACAATAGAAGTCGTAACGGTTATAGGGTTTTAAATCGTAGAAAATTGACCAATCACAGTCGATTATTCTTTTCATATTCGACTGTGATTGGTCGATTTTCTACGATTTAAAACCCTATGACCGTTACGACTATTTACTTCATCCTATATTCGATCAAAGCGGATCTTAATATTAAATACATAATTCTTTGTGAATTTATAACGTTTCTGATTCTACATATTGCATGACCGAATATAGGATCCTTTATTTAATTAAATTTATTCTCATCAGTCCAATATTCGCTTCATATTGCAGTTACATTACCTAATCATACAGGTACTGCAACATACGGTTTAGTATTCATGCTAGGTGGTTTGAGGTCGAGATGGAAGCAAATTGTTTATTATTTTACGGGGAATAGTTTTGATGGAGCTGTTTTGAAACCAATTATTTTTCAGATTCTACATAAGGCAAAATCAATCAATTTAAATGTAAATAGTAAATTACATCCGACATGGGAGCGTGTAATTTGGGATTGTGGCGGGAATTGGGAATAACAGCGGGACGGCATTCACAAACAATAAGTAAAATTCAGCATCCATGTGATCCTAACTGACAATTGTATATTATAGCTGATGCAGCACATCTTAAAAATGTTAAAGAGTATCTATTAAATAATAAATTTATTACAATTCCTGTTATGCTGCAAGAAAAATATAAGTTGCCTACAAATATAGTATATGCTAATCATCTAGTAGAATTACTCGATAAACAAGAAGATTTAGACTTTTTATTAACGTCAAAATTACGTAAATCTGACATAAACTCTAAAAATCAATATCTAAAAAATGCGAGTAAATGTAGCAAAAAATGTTTTAAGTACAAATGTTAGTAGTGCCTTAGAATTTTTAGCAGATGAGAATAACAACCCTCATTATTTGACATGATTTATAAAGGTAGCTAAATGGTTTAAATTAATAACTTCGAGACATTGCTCTGTAGTTCTTGGAAAATTATGCATAGAAAAATTCAATGAAAGTATTTCTTTCTTATATGAATTTATTGATCTTTTTAAAGATATAAGGGTTGGTAATGAGGGATACTTCAAACTTGTACAAAAGGGAATGATTATTACTACCACATCCATTTTAGAGCTTACTAATTATCTGTTAGAAGAGAAAGGATTTGAATTTGTTTTAACCGGCCGTATGACTCAAGATTGTGCAGAAAATCTCTTTTTTGTAGTCAGAAGTAAGAATCCTGTTCCTAACGCGTTACAATTTAAAAATTATTTGAAATTTCTGTTTCTCTGTATATGTCTGTAACATGTTCTACAAAATAATTATGAAGAACATGATAGAGATTATTTAACGGATTTTTTAGACGTTCTAGCTCCAAAAAAGAAAAAAGTTTCAGATAGAAATATAAATATTGATGCAATAAATATAAACTTGGAAAGCATTCCTACTTTTAAAAATACTGAAATGAATATACTCGTATTATATAATATTGCTGGTTACATAATTCACAGCTTACAAAAAACTTCTAAGTTATGTAAAGAATGCATTCGTTCTGTTCGTAATACAAAAAATAAAATGTTTTATTCGAAATTAGTACAAATACGATGTTTCAAAAAAGATGCTTTATTTTATTTAAATCAAGCAACATTTAATGTATTTTTGCAAATGGAACGTATATTCCGAGAATGTGAGAAGCAAAAAATATTCACAACAGATATAAATATAAAAATATTGGAAAATTTTTCATTCGTTCGTTATATACAGTATGAGTTATCTAAGTGTTATAATCTTAAAATGAAAATTTTTACAAGGTTTGCTGTTTTTACGTGTAAGATAGCGTGTAAGAAACATAAAGAATAAAAGAAACGCTATTTTGATGGCTATGCATAGTATTACTAAATAAATTTATTAGTATTACTAAATAAATTAATTTTTTTATAAAAAGTGTATCTTTTATTTGAAACACCATGTTTTAGAATTTAAATTTGACGCCATGACTATTTCCGGTTTTTGCTGAAAAATGTCGGCACCAATAAAAATTGGAAACGTTATTTCGCGACTCTGATTAGAGGATCTCTATCGCTGAAGGGTCGAAACATGGCGAGTTTCAATGACTAGACGTGTACGGACTACGGACTTACGGAGTAGCTACCATACACACATTCCTGACTTCCCATCGCAAGTCATTGTCTCTGCCCGGCGATGGACCGTGGAGAATCGACGGAGTGTCGTAGAATATCGCGGATCCGTCGTCGCGGCATCCGTTAAGATCAAGAACGTTGCGTCGAGAATCTTCCTTCGGTCGTGTTTAACCTTCGAACAGCAACCAAAGTTTGAAAATTGACGAAACTTTCGTACGTGCTCTGAGAGGACTTTACGCTGAAGAGGGGGAATATGAGAATCTTAATTACAGAAAATGTCCCGTCAATTTCTTTCAAGGGAATAAACATAGCTCAGTTGCCTCTGTAATTGTTAGGAGTGTTACCTTTAATTTGCCCTGAAGGTAAGTTTTGAGTTTTACCAAGCATGATTAAGCAGGACCTTTAAATTGTAGTATATTTAACAGAATAATAATTATATATAACGTTAGATACATTTTGTGTTATTAATATAATAAGCAAAACATTTAATCAAATTAAAGTGTCGAGAACAGTTTGCTCCTATGTATTAAATGATAAGACTTATCAAATTATATATGTAAAATGTTTTAGGCTGTAAGGAATTAAATGGAATACAATAAAAATACCAATACAAGATAACATTGGATAGATAAGTGTATATTAAAAATTTATTTATCTACTATTATAAATAACAAAAATGTAAATGTTTCGACTCTACGTTTTGAAGTCTTCTGAGTACTTAAATAATAATTACATGTATCGAGTTAACTACAAAATTATATTATTAAAAAAAATATATAGTAAATTATTATCAAATGGAGTGAGGTGCATAATCAAGTGGTAACTATTTGTCGTAAAAACTAGGTATCTAGAAATAAAATGATAGGTTGTTATTATATAAAATCATAGAGACTTGAGTTATGAAAGTCAACTGTGTACAGTCAAGCGTCAAAATAAAGTTGATTTGTATTAACATTTTTATTGTATTAAAAAATATTTAATGTAATAGCAATAATTTTTTTACACAGAAAGAAGCAAAATTATTTAGAAAAAAAAATATAATCTTCTATAAATCAATATAACATAATATAAGCATAATGTATTTTTTCAAAATTGATTTTTATTTTAAGTATGTAAATGATTGTTTTATGTGAGAGAAAATTATATATTACTATTGCATTTAATATTTTATTTGTTTTATATAATTATTATTATGTATATTAATAATATACTTAATAATTATTTCAGAGATAAATTCAAGGTGTTGGGCAACTGATCATGAATCATGTATAGCTTTGAGGGAGATTATAGGCGCAAGCCACAGCAGAATTTATCAGGTGCTAGCAAACGAGACGAGAAGGCCGTTCTTCTGCAGCACGCACAGCTCGAGAGGCTAAAGAGGGAGCAGCAGCGTAAGAAGCATGATGCTGCGCTAAAAATACAGGCGCACATACGCAGCTTCGTCACCAGGAGACTGGTGTGCGCGGAGAAGAGGAAGGAATTTGATGAAGCAAAACAGGCAGCCGGATGCAGGAACCTGAACCTAGAAGAACTAGTGCCATACCTGCGAAAGTTGTTATTCTTTTATAATCACGCCTCAGACGCTGACAGACTGATATGGATCCTTCAGTACTTTCTGAAGCATCAGATAGAAATTAAATTGAAGTTAAGTTTGTCGCAATGGCTGTGGAGACTGCGGTAAGCTATTAACATAAACATAATATATAGAGAAGGTAGTATTATAGTCAGTGTAGATATAATGGCCTTTCTTAATATCTCCGCTATTAAATGGCAAATTCTAGTGATTACCAG